ACTGAAGATGTGTATACCGTGTTTATGTTTAATCTTTCTTTTATCAAAAAACCAACTCTAGAATAAAACATTATATATTGTTATAAATAAGACATAATAGAAACAAATGTATGGAAGGGTCTAAAACATCTACAAAGATACAGTCGGAAGGTAATGAATCAGCTTTAATCATGAAAAATATATAAAATAAGCTTAAAAATTACAGTCTTTCTTGCATTGAACCAGCAACCATTTTTGCCACAGTATTTTATTCTCATTCCAAACATATTGGGTTGCCTGAAAGTACATTACAAATATTATACCATTATTCTAGATTGAAGACCCAACTTTTTTTGCTTTGAAACTTCTTTTCAGTAATAAACCATGGTAAAAAGTCATTGTTTTTTGTTTTTTAATTAGTATTACTGATATTTTGAACAATTCTATTAAAAAAAAAACTTTGCATTTTCTTCATTTGTAAAATACAATCATCGTAATTAGATTTAGAAACATCTTTATGTCAAATGGCTACCTTTAATATGAAACACTCATTCTGGTATTATAATCACTATTTATAAAGTAGAAAGTGAGTCGGGCAAGGTAAATTTTTGTTTTAGATACTGAATATTCTAGAGGGATCTTAAACATTTTTTAAAAATTATCAGTGGATGACCATGAGATCTTATTTTTGTTGTTATGGCTGTTTTTGGAATAACATGTATTCATATATAAACAATGTTTGTAAAGAACTTGCATAGATATAAACTTTCAGTAAAGCTTTTAAATAACAATCAAAAGTAATTTACAACAATATCTATATCATAATTAGTAGGAATCAGATGTTGTCAAATATGTTACCTCGAACCAAGCAGTTTGTTTGTTTTTCAATAAATTAAACACAAGTTCAAATATGATTGTACAGAAAAGACTCCACCTCCATTAGTCATTCAGTTTACTGCAGTTCCTTGATCTACATTTTCATCCAAAATGGATAAAATTTGGGAATTTATTTTATTTCTGTTTCTCTTATGTAATGGCAGCATCACTGTGCCATCCATCTTTACAAAATACCTTTTTTTTTTATTGATAATAAAGGTTTTTAAGTATCACTTAATTCTTATGTTGGTGATCTTAAAGGAATGTACAGTAATTTTCTTCAAGAAAGGATGAAACTGACTTAGTTTTTATATATCTTTTATTTTGTTTTCAGAATAGAACAGTACGATGTGGTTAGTCTATCTCAGTTTATAAAAAAAATTATCATTTTCACAAGTTCCTCTGTTACTTGTATAAGGAAGAACTATCATCACTTTCACATCAGTGTTTTGGAGTGAATATTATTCTCTATTTACATGCATAGTGTTTATTCTGTATTTACAAAGAACAACACTGCTACCCCTCCCAGTGAAATTATTTATCCTTGCAAAGAGCAACACTGCTACCCCTCCCAGTGAAATTATTCATCCTTGCAAGGAGCAACACTGGTACAAGTGAAATTATTCATCCTTGCAAGGAGCAACACTGGTACCCCCCCCCCCCCACCCTCCCAGTGAAATTATTCATCCTTGCAAGGAGCAACACTGGTACAACCCCCCCCCCACCCTCCCAGTGAAATTATT